GTTCGGATGAGGGTTGCGGCGACGTTGGGGCACGGCGCGGGTGAAGGACAAGTCGATGAGTAGGGCAAGGAGCAAGGTGAGGAGCAGTGAGAGGGACAGGGGGTGGTTGGGGGGAGGAGGACAGAGATGGCGGTGTGTCGGAGGATAAGGAAGTGGTCTTCGAGTACGATTGTCTGTTAAGGTATCGTTGAGATTGGGAAAACAGAAAGAGGGAGGGAAATACATACGTCATATGCTGGATCTAAGCCTTCCAATTTCCATGTTACAGCGACGTCGGAAGTGAGATTCCATCCAGAGGCGCATCACGCGATCGCCAGTAATGCGCAGCCTTCTAACGAATTTTAACTAGCAGGGATATCTGAATATCAGCAGCGGCGTGAATTCCTCCTTTTTGACGTAGAATGATGCGTGAGGAGGGGGTGAGTGGTTGGCGTATAAACATGCTACTGGGGTGGAGGTTGGAGGTCGTTCATTGTCGGGTTCGTTGCTAGTAGTTGCCGTAGTAGTAACCGAGCGCTCTGACTCTGAGATCTGAGTACTCATCGCTCAGCACACGCTGTTTGGTGAACCGGTGACGTAGCTGCGCAAGATACGTAGGCGGAGAAAGTTGATGGGCAATATGTCAGTGGAGGTCGTCTTGAGGTCGTCGTCAGAAAAGTTCGTCACTGCATGTTACAGCACCGGCAACCATCAGCCGGAGCTATTTTTGGAACGACAGCATGCACAGTGACAGGATCACCCCCCTCAGAGGCCAATTACCACCAGACAAAGAATTGGCCTCTGAGGTACCCTAGCGCTTGAGAAGCGCCAGGCCTGAGGTGAGCGATGTACTCAAGACGGTTAAACAAATTTAGGAAATGTGTGAGCGAAGATTCCCGGTTCTGAACGAACAGCATGCTTGAGATAAGCCATTGTATCGACTCCACTATGATATCTCACCAAGGGGACTCACGTCATTCCAGAATCGCTTGTCAACGTCAAGTGCTTCAATGATTGGCAAGTCCGCACCTAAGGCGCCATCTTTTACGTCCCCCGAAGGCCTCAAAGGCCTATTCTTTTGATAGGGAGTAATGGGCCTTCAAGGCCTGACCCGCTTATCCATTTATATCCAACGATCGAGATCTTTAGGCGGTTCCATTCACGATAGTCAGTTCGACCGTCAATGAAGCCAGTTCCACTTACTACCCTCTTCCAGTCGCTGTTGTTGCCGGTTTGACTGCCGGTTAAAAATAGTACTGTTCAATAGGTTACAGCTGACAACCTTTTCGTTGAGGAACCGCTTGGTACATTTCATGCTTGGTCAAAGCTAGCGGTGCTTCATATTAGGTGGTCATGGTGCCGTAAGGTCGGACATAAAGCGCTCAAACCAGCATACCTAGAGACTCCTTTCGAGAAGGTTTGCAAGGTGACAGCCTTTTCCTTGCCTTTTCCATGTCTTCATTCATTGGCACCCCCACTCAAAATCGTCGATTTGCGTGAAGGCCCAATTGGTGATAAATAATCAAAGTTGAGTATGTATACTCAAGATACAGTCTCCAATTGCGCAAAAAGAACAGCTAGATGGCCCCGATTCTCATTGGGGCCTTCGGATCTTCGCCCACTTTACCCTTGGCATAAGGCATGACTGTGATACGAAGCCGCCATTCAATTTCTTCGGTAACCGCTTCAAACGAGAA